TGAGGGGACCTCACCACCCCCCATGCACAATTTCATGCACAGGGCCTCTGGTAAGTAAAAAAGAGAAATAAGAGAGTGATATCATAAAGACAAAGAAAGAGAGGGAGTTAAAAACATGGGCATGATCATATAAAAAGTCCACAATGGATTTAATAATTAGGAACTATAACCAGGATAGATACAATTTCAGTAAGTAGAGGAAGCAAGAATAGAAACACTCAAGATTGCTGAGGCTATTTCAGGGAGAGGGAATGGCTCAAACAAACAAGGCAAAAAAGGTAAAGTGTGAAGTGTGTTTAGAATAGAATGTAGAAGAGTTTTGCTAGAATGGAAGGTTTACATAGCAGAAAACAAGAAAGGAAGTTTAGGCCAATGACTGCATTCCACATTTTATTCTACTTTTAACTTTATTCTGTGAGCAGGAAGAAGAAAGACAGGTAGCTTTTTTTTTTTTTTTAAAGATAACTACTGTGGTGACTAGCCTCAATTATGAACTGGAATGACAACAGAGTTAAGGCAGGGCAAGCTATTAAGCAGTCCTAAAATTACATAGTAATAAAGGCCTAAATGAGGCTGGCAGTAGCCAAAGTAAGAATTAAGGGATACATGAAAAGATATTCTATACTCCTTGGGTGCTCTAGATATCCCACTGTCCCTAAATTATTATACTTACCACATTGTATCATAATCATTTTTGGACTGGGACCCTCTTTCATTCAACCTTTCATCACTAGTACTAACAAGTCAGAAACACTAGAAGTGGCCAAAAAGTGTTCGCTGAATTATAATAGAACTCAGTAATGATAATATATATAAGTGAGACTTAAAGATACTGCCGAGAATATGCAGATTACATAATACTGTACATAGAAAACCCTAAGGCTCCACCAAAAAACTACCAGATCTAATAAATGAATGACAAAGTAGCAGGATATAAAATTAATATACAGAAATCGGTGGCATTTGTATATACCAATTATGAACTCTCAGAAAGAGAAACTAAAAAAACAATCCCATTTACTATTGCAACAAAAAATAATAATAAGATACCTAGGAATAAACTTAACTAAGGAGGTAAAAGACCTGTACTCAGAAAACTATAGGACACTGAAGAAAGAAATAGAGGAAGACATAAACAAGTGGAATCATGTACCATGTTCATGGATTGGAAAAATTAACATCATTATAATGTCTATACTACCCAAAACAATCTACAGATTTAATGCAATTCCTATTAAAATACCAATGGCATACTCCACAGAGCTAGAGCAAGTATTCCAAAAATTTATATGGAACCAAAAAAGAAAAGCCTTAGCAATCTTGAGGGGGAAAAAACAAAGTTGGAGGGATCACCATACTGGGTATCAAACTATACTACAAAGCCGCAGTAATGAAAACAGCCTGGTATTGCCCTGCCCAGTGTGGCTCAGTTGGCTGCACATTGTCCTATGCACCAGGAGGTTGCCATTTCCATGCCTGGTCTAGAGTAACTCCGGGGTTGTGGGCTCGATCCTCGGTAGGGAGCGTCCAGGAGGCAGCGGATTGATGTTGTCAAACAAACTGGTACTGCTATCATTACAAGCATATAGATCAATGGAACAGAACTGAGAGCCCAGGTTTTTATGGTCAATTAATATTTGATACAGGAGGCAAGAGCTTATAATGGAGTAAAAACAGTCTCTTCAATAAATGGTGCTGGGAAAATTGGACAAGTACATGCAAAAAAATGAAACTAAACCACCAACTTACATCATTCACAGGAATAAACTCAAAACGTATAAAAGACTTAAATATAAGTTGCAAAACCATAGAAATCCTAGAAAATAGGCAGTAAAATCTCAGACATCCATCATAGCATAATTTTTGCCAATACATTCCCTAGGGCTGTGGTCAGCAAACTGCAGCTCGCGAGCCACATGCGGCTCTTTGGCCCCTTGAGTGTGGTTCTTCCTAAGCCTTAGGAGTACCCTAATTAAGTTAATAACAATGTACCTACCTATATAGTTTAAGTTTAAAAAATTTGGCTCTCAAAAGAAATTTCAATTGTTGTACTGTTGATATTTGGCTCTGTTGACTAATGAGTTTGCTGACCACTGCCTAGGCCCTAGGGCAAGAAAAACAAAGGAAGAAAATAAACAAATGTAACTACATCAAACTAAAAAGCTTCTGCATAGCAGAAGAATCCATCAACAAAATGAAAAGGGAACCCACTGAATGGGAGAACATATTTCCCAATGATGTAGTGGGGCCTTGACTTACGAGTTTAATTCGTTCCATGACCGAGCTCGTAACTCAAATTACTCGTATGTCAAATCAATTTTCACCATTACAATGAACTGAAATGCTGGGCTGATGTTGTGGCGTTCACTGTGACGTTCGCTGCGCCAACTAGCGGTGGGGTATCTGAAGCTGGTTCGTAAACCGAATTTTAGCTCGCAACTTAAAGCAAAAAATCGGCCGAGAGACAACTCGCATCTCGAAAAACTCGTTAGTCGGGACACTCGTAAGTCAAGGCCCCACTGTATCTGGTAAGAGGTTAATTTCCAAAATACATAAGGAACTTACACAACTCAACACCAGGAAAACAAACAACCCAATTAAAAAATGGCCAAAAGACCTGAATAGACACTTCTCCAAAGAGGACATGCAGACATATGG